CTGGATATTTTTTTTTAAGTCTGTAGAATCAGGAAGCAGACAGGTCCGTACACCATCTGTTTAGTCATTTCACCTGAAAGGCAGACCTTGAGTCACATGCCACCCACAGTTGGCCCAGACTGGCTGTCCCCATGGATCTGGAGAAGGTGGTCTGCACCTGGCTGGGCTGTTCCATGTTCAAGAGCAGAAGCAGAGAAGCAATGGTCAGTCTTACCATTGAGACTGATATCAGGGAGTCAACTGGACTCCAGCAAGTTACTGCCTCTGCAAGAAAGGGAATGACAACATATTTGGAGCTGGAACTATGTATTTGCTCCTCTCTGAGTGCCGCTGAATGGGCTCAGACCTGTGGCCAAGTCTCCTGGCACCACAGTCTGGGGCCTCCTTGAATCCTGGAACTAGACACAGAGCTGAAGATCCTGGCCTCAGAAACTTGAGAGGGCTCCAAATCTCCAAGCACCTTGACTGGAATCATTAAACACTTCATTATATTTTTTTAAAAGACATAAGAGCCTAAAGAAATACCCAATAAGAGAAAAAAATGTAGCTAAAGAATTCTTCCAACAAACTATTCTACAAATGGCAAATCACTTAGGTGACAGGTATTACACGTATCTGTTATCTGGATGGGTAAAGTCATTTGAAGTGTCCGGGTAGAGTCATGTATTGTCACTCTCCACTGGTGTTAGAGACAAAGCCAGGACTATACATGCATTTCATTTTCTGGGGCAAAAGGCATTTTGATTAATTAAAATGTTAAAACCTCCAATGGGAGGACTGTTTCTGCAGGCTGAGTTTCCTTGTCTGACTTTTAGGAGAACTAGGTAGGAATCATTGCTACAATGAGGCAGCATATCAGAGAAGTATCCCATATCCCCCAACTGTGTTGGGTGGATACTAGGCTAGGATTCTGGGCCCAGTGGAGAAAATACAGAAGCCACCCAGTTAAAAAAAAAACAAAACAAAACCAAAAAAAAACCTTTCTGTGCTCTGTTCAGGGTAGACATCATTTTCTAGCCTAGAAGACTCTTACTTACTTAAAGTGCCCCAAAGTAGAATAATACCCTTCTGATTTCATGAGAGTGGTTTCTGGGGACAGTATACCCCTTCATCAAAGTCTTATGTTCTTTAATGTATTACCAACTATTTAGTGAGATCTAATAGGACATGAGCTGTGCTGGCTTCATAAAAATTAAAATCAGTGTATTCACATTTGATCAAAATATATGTAAAATTTTAAGTGGATAATTTCAAAAGTCTAATTTTTATGCACATATTTTAAAATAATGCAAATTATCCCATATTTTAAAAGTCTGTCAAGAGCTGCAGAATTTCAAAGCTGGTAGGCTAAGTGAGTTTTAACCGCGTTTCGTGGGTGCCTCACGCTAGCGCCCGTTTGCCTGGGAAAGCAGTGGGCCACCTTGCGTTGGCAGCACACTGTGGGTTCTCACTCTCGTTTCCTTCCACTGGGGCTTCTGCAAATGATCTTGTGGACCACAGCACGGCCATTCCTGGACCACTTGAGTGTGATATCTGAACACTTCCCTGAAGAATCTGAGTTTCTGTCTGAATTTCAGCTTTCATAGATGTGAGGCCACTCTAGGCACACTAGCTTTGGAACTGTTATATGTCCTCATATTCACTATTGTCATAATTTGCAATAGCTTTTAACAGTAATGTAATATCTCACATGGACTGAACACTTATAATGGATGAGGAGCTGTTCTAATCCCAACTCACTGAGGTATAGTATTATTATTACCCCATTTTAAAGATGAAAAACCTTGATACATACAAGTTAAGTATCTCACCCGAGGTCACTCAGCAACTGTGTAGGGACCAGGATTCACAACCAAGCAAGCTGGTGTGGACCTCCCCCTTCCTCTGGTGGCACAGTCCTCTGAGGCAAGCCTGTCCTAGCATTCTTTCAGCTAGACCTGAAGATTTCACCCCTAAACCATCAGCTTTGGGAGAAATTAGACCTAGTAGAGTATACAAAGAAGGCACTGTGAAACATTGTCCAAGGTGCATTCTCTTTTGTTACTATTGGAAAATTAGACTTGCATTGTACTCATTTCTAATTATGCAAATTCCCTTCATAGAATACCAATCCTGACCTCTAGGAGCTTACAGTTGAATTTAGAGTAGCATCTACCATTTGAGTGGTCACGGTGTGCTGGGACCACACTCAGTAAGCCCTGCTGCACAGTCTCTTTCCCCCTCCCGCCAGTTCTGCTGGCGGGCATTGCCACCTCCGGGCCTGCCTTAGAGATGGCAGACTGCTTATCCAAACTCCCCTCTCAGGGGCTCTCTCGCTAACCTAACTCAGGATTCCAGGAGTCAAGGAGGCCCTGGAGTGCGGTGCCAGGAGCAGGTCTTTCTGAGCAGGAAACCTCAAATTTCAGGCTTCCCTTCCCATCTCATGGTATAAGGTTTGATACAGTAAAATTGATGGTAATAAAAATGATTTTCATGTTTAGCGTGTAAGTAGTACTGGCAAGCATTCCCCAAAGCCTGAGGTGGCAGGTAAACGGATACAGAGAACTTGACACCAGGTTGGGTGTCTGCAGCCTGGCCGGTGGTTGAGATATTTCCCCGCTGCCCATGGCATAAAGGGCCTGTTCCCCACTAAGTTCTCTTTATCCTTTGAGAACCCTAGGTTTCACCTCCATTTTAAAAGATTGTTTGATTTAATAAGGACACAATTGACAGAATTCAAAAGCTTTAGAAGACAGATCTAGCTAGGTAGTATAAAGCTAGAACCCCCAACTTTAGGGGGTTCTAACCCCCTAAGGTCATCTTGCAACTTGTACTGACTGAATTCCCCAGGCTTCCAGAGCACAGAACTGGGAGCAGCAGTGGGCTCAGGCACCTCAGTGCTGTTAAGTGCTGGCAACCACACCTCAGGCTTATTTCCAAGTGGATGCCTCAGCAGCCAAGGCAATTTGCTTCCAAAATTATGGTGTGGAAAATTTCATTGCTTGGGAGCACAATGGCTTTTTCACACACCTTCAGCACTTATTTGTGAATTATAGGAATCTGATTATCATCACTTGATATTCTCTATCCCCAAAACACAGATCCATTAACTGTGTCTTTTCGGAGTCCTATATATTTTGGACACTATACATAATTGATTTACAAAGGGAATGGGTTAGAGATACATATGTGATTTTTTTTCTTTTAAGTCTATGTTATTTCAGCAAAAACTACTGATTGATTGATGCAGTGATTCTTTTCCAGAATAAAGCCTGGCTTTAGCTCAGGTCTTAATCCCTAAGAGTACATAGCTTTAACCCTCAGTTTCCCAGCAAAGCCCTCAGTGATTCTGTGTGCCTGTGATTGCCGACTTGCTCTGTGACCCTCCCACCCTGGGTTTTCAGGGCTTGTTTTGTACATGCTCCTTGTCCCACCTGACAACTTCATTAAAGAACATTCACATTTGTAAACATGCTGGCTTTGAAGAAGATGTGAAGTTCCCTTCAGAACCTGCAGCCTTATTCTGTTGGCTGAACTACACGGAGGGCGATAACCTATTTACATACTAAAAAGGTCAGTGTTGGACAGTCAGCATTTAGAAACACATTTGCTGCTGCTTGCAACTGGAGCATAAGAGTTTGAGAGGAGGCCGCAATTGTGCTGTCTTTTTTATTTATGTAGACAGCAAGCGTTGGTAAATATGCAGGACATCTGTGCCTAGCAGCTGGGGCGGGGGTGGACAGGCTCCTTCACAGTTTAGACCCTCTCTGGTTACTATCAGGTACCGTGCAAAGTGCAGGTTAGCCTCACCTGCTAAAAACTGTTAATTTGAGATGGAAATATTTGCATAATAGCTCTTCTGACTCAGGTTAGTAAAACACAAATTATCATAATAGACTTTAAACCATGTGGCAACTGCTTGCTTAACCTGCCATTTGCATTAGGAAAGGTAGGCTTTCAGAGGGCTTAAAACATTTCATTTTGTAGCCTTTCTTTTCAAAGTCTTTTAAAATACCAACAACTTTATTTTGCTAATGTATATTGAAAATATCTTTAAAAATATTGTAAAGGCATGAGTTTTCTATGAAATTGCTATAATGTTTTTTGCTCCTTACCCATTTGTGCAAAATTTAAGGTTATTGAGATTCATGGCTCCACCTAAAATATTGGGTATAACATAAGAGTAGAAACAACCCTGAAGTTGGAAAACTAGTTCAGAAAGGCTGGGGAGAAGGGTAGGAGGCAAAAGGAAGTCTTACTCCTTGATGATAGATAGCAGCCAATCCTGGGCAAGCAGAAGCCAGCAGCCATTTGTTGTTCTTCATGCCATAGACTGAACCGTGGCTTTCAGAGCTTTTGCTCCAAAAAGAGCACCCTTTTAAGAGTGCCTGGTGCAAGGATAGTTGCAAAGCTGTGGCTTCTTTCCATAAGTCCCGGTGAGGTCATCCTGGCTGGCTGGGAGCTACAGCAGCAGCTGCTACCCAGGTTCTCAAGGGTACCCTATGTTTCATTCCATGTTCAGTGTCCCCTGGGGGACCTAGGAAGCCAGATGTGGACATGGGCTCATTCCTTCTTTAGAGATATGCAAAGTGCCTTCCAGGAAGAAAACGTTCTATGCATGTGTGCACATGTCTCTGTGCCCACTCGCTTAATGGTTACCTCAGCAAAGCCTGATGCTTCCTCTGACTCCTGATTTATGTAGAGAGGACCCAGTGGCTGGGACAGGCTAGCCCTTCGTTGGCACCAAATAGTGTGTCATAGAGATTATGCGAACCTGCCTGTTAGCCATAGTTTTCAGAGCCTTATCTAACAACTGTTTTTCATGACCATTGTTTTGAAACACAACGGTGGTGTTGGCTACGCTGGGGACCCCTGGCAATGATGCTGTGTGACTAGAAGACTAGGAGTTCCACTGTGTCTGCATTTACCTAACCTGGCTCTGGACTTCTGTAATGAGAGGCTGACCTAGATGCTGCTCACTAATTCATACGTCTGTGCTTCCCAACCCCTTCCCCTCCTAGAATGCGCAGCCGAGCAGACACAACAGGCGCTACAAGAGTCGATCTTTATGGCATCCATGGCTACCCATCCTCCCCGGGACCTCCCGCTCAGCAGGGAGCAGCACCGCAAGCTGCTGCCAGGAGTGGCTGACATCCAGGCAGACGAGGTGACCCGATGGACAGTGGATGAGGTGAGTATGCCTGCTCTGGGGCCATGGGATGGACGTGCCCAGATGCTGAGAATTTCTCTTAAGCACTGAATTCAGTGTATCAAATTTAAGAGCCACATTTAAGGGAGAAGACAGGGATGATTTGGGGGAAATTTGGAAGGCCTGATGCATGTTTGCCCTCCTCTTCCCAACCTGTACCCTCTCTGTGCCCCATGGACACAGCCTTGGTCTCATTCAGGCAGAGGGGCCAAGCCTCCAGCCTCTTGCTGCAGATGGGATTTGAGGAGGCCCAAATGTACAAGCATCTCAGCCTGTGTCCTGATATCTCCTGTCGTAAGAGGCATCTTCCCTGGGAGAGCGCCCACCCCCAGGATGCTCTGTGCCCTGAGGGACTCCCTTTGCTGGCGCCCACAGAGCCCTGAGAATCCTGTGGTTTCACACTGAGCAGCTCTGTGCCACCCATTAGTCCATCTGAAGTCACAGATTCTAAAGGAAAGTAGATCACAACATTGCCCAAGATACTGTACCAGACAGAAAAATGAATTCAATTTTACTATAAACATGTCCTCCAATATTGGTTTTTAATAAAGATCAGGTAAGTCCCATTGCTTACTGTAGTGCTATAGAAATGCTTCATATTTAAAAGCAATTATCCTTAAAGGAAGAGGTCTTTGACTGACATTCCTTTTGATAAAGGTATTGTCCCTAGTCAGGTCTTAGTGAATTTTTTTAAATGAAGGAAAACCCTGGGGTACTCTAAGAACAAGATTAGAGATGGAGTTAAGTTAATCACAAAATGTTCATTGAGCACTTACTGCAGTCAACCTAACTTAATCTTGGTTTAATTAAGGCTTCCTCTCCAGCCTTGGACAAGCAGCAGGGGGTGAAGGCCACCCGGAGATCAAGGTTTGGAGTGGGCCCTGCTCCCTCCTCTTTCTCCCAGGCACCTCACAGAATCTGCCTGGTGGGTGCCCCTGCCCCAGCATCCCTGCCCAGCGTTTTTCCACATGGAGCAGAGGAACTGACACCTTTCTCCCTGCACACCCTGCCTGCCCACCCTCCTGCTCGAGGGCTGCGATGGTCCTGGTATCAGAGAGTAGACCTGAATACACCCAGAGCTGGCTCGTGTTTGGGGAAATGACTACCTGTGATCCTGCTCCTTCAAGAGTACACAGAGTCTGGCCCTCTACCCCCATTAATGAATTTTTACCAGTTTACAAAGCATGCATCAGCTTCATGACCAAGCTGATTGAATTAAAACCTATTGTGTCTATAATCAAATCATGTATGGTTTTGCCCTTGAGACAACACTGAACATAATGGGGAGTTTGACAGAACACAATGGCAAGTTACTTGTTCCTGCCTTTCAAGCCATTCATCTGAGTTTTACCTTTTTAAAGACTGAAAGTGGCTGTGCTCCTGGCCCATCTCTGTCCTGCTCAGAAAGATGTTGTGGGAGGGAAGCCACCTGGATCCATCCCTACATGTATGTACAGAGCAGCTACGTCCTGAGAATCAGTGAATGTACTAGAGAAGGGAGAATTCCAACTGTGTCTCCACCCAACTTGTAACAGTCCTAGGCTCCCCAACAACATCCTGAGCATATCACTGAGCCTGGTATGAGCTTTCCTCACCTGCATTTTCAGTCTGACCTTCTACCCCGCCTCACCTGGACCTCCCACTCTGGACTACAGAACCTTGCTCCTCCTCAGCCCCACGTGTTGTTCTCTTCCTTGCACAATTGCTACCATGGCCTCAAACACCCCTCCCACCCTGTCAACTGGCAGCCATCAGCTCTGCTCACTTCTGCAGAAGCCTCTGGGCTGGGTCACACGTCCTCTCGGTGCTCCCATTTCATCTGAGTCTTCTGCCACTGCCTCTGCACACACTTGACTGACCCCTGACCAGATGAGGGAGAAACCTTATTTCACTCACTGGGCATGTATCTTGAGAACCTCTTGCTGTACCTGGCACTTAGTAAATAACACAGTGAATGTGTATTGAATGATGTTGAATGACAAGGGTCGTGAGCTGGATTTTGAAACCAAAAGTGGGATATATCTAAGCAGGAGAATGAAGGGAATCCATTTCAGTCCCCATTCCAAAAAGAAGTGAACAACAGGAGGTTGCGTGGGAGAGGTATGACATATGCAAGGATGGCCAACACACAACACACCCTTTACTAACATTGATGATAATAGCAAACAGTATTAATATAATGATAACAAGGCAAATGGTCATTTTGCCCATTTTACAGATTGGGAAATTGAGGCACCAGAGACTAAGTAACTTCTTAAGATAATGTAGTGAGAACGAGGTCCAGAGCTCATGTGTTACCCACAATGTGTGCACACTGCAGACCTCGGTCCAGAGAACAGTGACCTGGGCTGGGGAAGATGGGCAGCACTTGAGGCCAGGCTCTGGGGTGTGTTAGTCGGTGGGCAATTCTGAGCTATCGCAGGTTCTTATGCAGAGAGTCACTTTGTGAAGATGGTGCTTCAGGAAGATGAGAATGGCAAAGATCTGCAAAAAGAGTAAGAATGAGAAGAGACCAAGAAAAGAGAGACAGCCAGAAGTCACCACCACGTTCCTGGTGTGGAATAATCGGGACCTGGACTGGACGCAGCCATGAGAAGAACCACCCAAATCAAGCAGACATTTTAAAGTCAAAATCAACAACGCACAGAGATTACACCAGTGGGTATGGAGCAACTCTTCCAGGGGCAGAAATACAAGATGACAGTGAGTGCTCGCCAAGGAGGTGATTGTCCAGGGAGAGCTGCAAGGATGGAGGTCAGCGGGACCAAGGTGGATGCACAGGGGAAGCATCTTGAAAAGGGGCACTTTGAGGAGAAATGGGGGGAGTCATGAAAGACAGGTGTCAAGGGGAGGCAGTTGTGCGTGCTCAGTGCAACAGGATGGATGCCAGACTGGAGTCAGGGGCTCCTGGCTGGGGCTGTGGCATTGGGCTTCAGAGGACTTGGAAAAAATGTGTAAAACATGTGTAATTTTTTTCCATTAAGAAGAGGGCCAAAAATAATAAAATTATTACCCACTTTTGAGGTTGTGGGGCGTGGTGCAGGCCTCATCCAAAAAGAATCAGAACAACTGTTTCAGGAACATGAAGCAGTAAATAGGGAATTTGCAGGGGGCCTCTAATCTGACGTTTCAAGTCTAGCACTGAACAGAAGTGAGAGATTAAAGGGTGATTAAAGGGAAGTAGATGGTCCAAGGGCAAGTCTCACTAGGTTAAAAAAAGAGGTCTCAAATGGAAGAGACTCACCGTGGGGAAGACCAGAGATGCCATCAGGGATTATGAGGGCGCTGAGATGGCCTTTCCTGCACTCTCTGTAATGGGTACACATGGAATCCCAGCCTTATCTCTGGAAGAGCCCTTAGAGATTTTCTAGATTAAAAATAAAGCAACCATCACAGAGTCTGTCTTCATAAAGTGCCCCTGCTCCTGATGCTTCCTCCACCATGGCCTCCCTCGGGGATGCATTCCAGAGAAAACTGTCTGGGCAGCTTTCTAACTTATGTAACTTAGTCTCAGTATCTCTCTAACCAAAGGCTCTTGAGGGCATGGACTGCATCCTAAATTTCTTTCACTATCCTCACACTCTGTAGCACATTTCCTGGCAACAAACTAGGTTCTCCAGAAGAATCTTTGATGGGTTTATAGTGTGAGCTTTGTGATGGTCCTATGTGTATCTTTGAAAACAAAGCAGTCCTCAAGTGGAGTTCACTTAGGGGGCATTCCAGAGAGTACCAGCAACTGAGTGTACAACTGCTACATACACCACATTAAAAATGGCATGCAGGTAGTGAGGATTTGAAAAGTCAGTTCAGGGCCAGTGGGCGCATTTGGAGGAGATTTTTTGTGCTCCATTGCTATTGGAGAGAAACCACAGCAGACTGGAACAGGGCCTGTTGAAAGTGGACATGCGTGTCTTTGTGTGGAGGCCCAGTCAGAGGGACCTGAGGTGAGTGGCTGTCCATGATAGAAGAGGGAGCAGCGCAAGAACTTTCCCTTTTGTAAGCCTTCCTGGCCCGGGAGGAAGACCTCCGCTCTGCTCTCTGTCACCTGTGAAGAGAACCCAGCCTAGGCGGGGTCTTCTGACATTTTCCAGAGCATGGGAGTTGGCTTTGAACTCCTCTGTCACTGTGCCTGTTTCTACTAGAGCAGTGTTTGTCAAAGCACAGGTGGAGTTTAAAGTCAATTTAGCGGTTCTAAAGTGAAAGATAGGCCTACATGAAAGCGCACAATTGTAGGAAAGGTTATTGCTTTGTGAAACCTTTATTAGAAGTGGGTGTGTGTGTGCACATATCCAAATCATGGTCAGTATGAAGTGTATTTCTTACTGAGTCATGGGAATATTCTATAGAACAGTATAGGTTTTTAAGAGTAGGGACTAAAATATCTTTGTATCTTTTTACATTTTTGTAGCCAAGTATCTTGCCCAGAATAGGTGACAAATCTGTGAGTGAGTGAGTGAGTGAGTGAGTGGGGAGTTAATTTTATGCAGTACCCTCCTGCCAGGTGTCCAGGGGAACAGGAGGGCCGGATGTGAAGTGTTATGTGCACATTACAGCCATGAGTGTGACTCAGGTATGTTGGGTTCACATATGAGAACTTGTATTTCTTATTTTCATAAATACTGTTTAAAGCAGCACATATAAATCACACCAGGCTCAAATAAGTGTTCCCTAAATATCCATTAACTTTAAAAGATGGCGGCCACATTAAAAGCAATCCTTACACAGGAGGAAGTGTTTTGAAAAATTCAGAGTATTGCTAACTAAGCATAGCAGCCTTATACCATTGAGCCCTCAAAAAAAAAAAAAAGCAAATAACAAACTCTGCTGTTAAAAAATGAGACCCAGGCTGGAAACGTGGTCCCTGGTGGACTTTGAGCCAGTATGATCAGGCACACAGCTACAGGCTCTGCAAAATAGAAAACACCAGCTTTTTGGAAAGATTTAGGGGAGCAACATCCCCACTGAAGAAAACAAGACCTGCTGAGCTCCAAAAGGATGCCAGGAAAAGTAGGTCGCTGGGGGAAGTAAGTTGGGTAAAGTGATGGGCTCATCTAAGAGCCCGCACAGTGTCATCTTTCTTAGTCTTTCCCAAACTGCTGTGTCATTCCTAGAATTAACTTACTCAGAGCCCTTCCAAAACAAAGCTCGGGCTTTAACTGTGGGACACTGTGCTCTCAGGACCTCAGGGAACCACTGCACACCTGCCGCCACACCAGGCATGCTTCCTGAAGCCAAGGCCAAGGTCGCCTGCCCCCAGACTCCAACAGCGCTACGTTACTTCAGAAAAGCAGACAGGTCCTCACAGCCACCTTGGATGGGAACAAATGGATGGTAGTTTCCTCTTTCACAGAGGTTGCTTGCATCTGTTGGAACAGTTCTCCATGTTTACCACAAGCTTGAAAGAATGAGAGCGAAACTCTGATACCACTCTATGGTATGTTAAAGCTCATCACTGTACATTTAGAAAGTTTGTAGCAAAATGGGCTTTCTCTTAAAGCATAATTTCTTTTTAGGGGACTAAATACTGTCTAACAATACTAAATAATGACTCTGAATAACGATCAAGGCCTTTGGATATTTTTAAATTCTTGCCAGAAAAGTCTGCCCCAATAGATATCGTGGAACTTGTTCTTCACTTTGGAAAAAGAAAAACAGACTGAATAGAATCAGGATCTCTTTCCAAAAGGACAGAATTTCAGACACACAGTAAAGCAAGCTGGATGTCACTGCCCGCGCTGTCTGAGGAAGACAGACTAAATGACAGCAGGAGGCGGGACAGTGAGCAGCTCCGCAGACACCAGGCTCAGAGCCCCCTTGCTCAGCAGCACTAGTCTGTTTACTCTTGGGTTTAACACGTTATTTATTCCCAATTAAAAATCCAATCTACCTTTGCCATGGACAATGATTTCTTGGCTAATACTAAGAAGATGAAATGTGATCCTTTCTTTTCACTTGTTTGCTCAGAAAAGGACATTTTAACTGATGCAAACCATCAAAACAACACACAACCTTTTTGCTGTGAGCAGAAGTTCTGGAGCATGATTTAAAGGGGCCATCTCTCCACACACTTCACTGTGCCGTGGCCAAGGTATGGTCAGGGTGGAGACCCACGGGTGGCTCCAGGGCTCCCTGGGTCCTGCTGGCACTCCTGGAGACCACAGCGCTCCTCTCCTGCCTTTCCTGCCTCTGCCCTTCTGCTTAGCAGCTGCAGCCAAACTAGAGTCTACTTTGGATGACACTCAAGCAGGGCATCCTGCTTGGGGCCCTGGTCCCATGAGGCTTTGTGCTGAGGTCTCCTCTGCACCGCCACCCTAAATCTCCCCCTGTGGAAATACTACGCAGCCAGCAGTGCCCACCTCAGCCACCACTTCCCTTTGGAGTGTCTGCTGAGAACCCACCTGAGATACCATCTGTCCTTTCTAGAAGCCCCTAGCCTAAGCCTCTCTCCTACATTTTAGCATATTGGACCATGCACATGGTGACTAGTAAGTCTTTTACTAGCCATTTTCTCTCTATTCTCCCACCACTAATCAAACCTAAAACTTATTGGAAGTTCATGCTCCACCTGATCACTAGCCCAGTTTTCCCAGCACCCAGCAGAAGCCTCACATGTAGCTGTGGTCAGAATCACACTTGGCCAGAAGAGCAGCCTCAGGAATGAGGGGACTACACTCACCTCTCAGTGTCCTGAGCCCCAGGAACACTATAAACCCTGCCATCACCGGCTCCAGTGACCATGTCTCTCCAGTTTGACCTTCAGTATTCCAGGGCTTCCCTCAGTGCCCTGAAAATACCAAACACATGCCCCATGCTTCCAGTCCACCTAGGAAACAGAAAACCACACTAATTCAACCAATGGACCCAGCTTCCCGGGTGCATAGACAGCCAGAGCTCTGGTCTCAGGTGCAACGGATGGGAATTGTAAGGGAGAGGAGGCCAGACTGAAGCATGCCCACACCTCCTAGAGTCCCCTAAGGCTTGAAGATGCCATTGTATGTCAGCACAATGACTGGTTTGAAAGGATTTTTTAGTTGTTTTTTTTTTTTAATTCTCATCATTCCACATCTTAGGGTGATTGTAAAAGCCTCATAATAAAATGTACTTGCAACATCAGAAGTGAGTGAAGCAGACACCAACGTGCTGATTGCCCCTAAACAGATGTTCTGAAATCTTCATGTGAGACAAACTAAACATAGCTGTGAGGGGACAGGGGACAGGGCTCTAGGGTGCACACACACCAGTGTCAAGCCTTTGGTTCACCCTGTGAGTATTGGCCCAGGCCACTCTGTAAGGTGGAAACAAGCCAGCCCTGTGCTGTTCTTTTCTGCAAAGTGCAGGAAGGAGCCCAAAGCGATTCACATCTTCAGGAGCAACTGCCGTGAGCAGGTACTCCCAGGGCTCTTGGGCTGCAGCACAGCCTGGGCTCCCTGGTCTTCCCTGGGAGACACAGGAGAGAAGGCCTAGTGCACACAATTTAGTCCACACCAGAGGCAAAGAGCCAGAAACAAAGAAAAAACAGAAACCAGCAAGACAGTTCCTCCTAGAAATACCTCCTCCCAGGATCCCTTTGCCATCGCTTTCTAGCTTGCCCTTCATGCCTTGCGGCAGCAGTGCCAGACTTTGCCAGAAGTGGCCAGGACCCAGTCGTCATTCTGGTTATTGGGCATTTGCATTTCATCCCGTTTGTTCCATCCGCTCCCCAACAGCATCACTCAGGAGCACTCAGTGGCTTTCCTTGCTTGTAGCCAGATCTTTGCCTGACCTCTCTTATTAAAAGGATCTCAGGGCATGTGGATAGAGAGGGAAGAAAGAGGCAAGGCTGGGAAAACGAGCCAAAGAAACTGATTTTTCAGAACTCTGGGTTAGGCGTCAGAAAACCTGAGTTCCAAAACTACCTTTGGCACTTAATGGCCATGCACAACCTTGAGTAAGTTCTTAAAACTCTTGGGCTTCAGCCCCATGATTATTTACATGGGAATTCACTTTGCATAGATTCCTTGAGTCCCTGTTATTGACTAGGCACCGAGTGGACACATCCTCATTGTCCCTGACAGTTGTGACAAGTGCCATGCACAGGCTCCAACCCCTGCCCTCTGCTCTGACCCACAGTGTGGATGGGAGGATCAGATGAGAGAAGGTTCCAGAATGCCAGAACTCCACACAGATGGAGACTGTCATTGTCATCATGTAGGTCGGCCTGGGAATAAGAGGCCAGAAAAGATACTGGGGGCTGATCTAATTTCTGAGCTGGCGCATGCTAATGTGACTTGATAGTTACAATTTAAATCCCAAGTGTTTGAAGGTATTTGGAGTATATTTTAGTCCAGTGTTGAATTACTACAACCAAAGAAATTATTTCTGGTGCATTTTTTAAAATCAGGTTTTCATTTGCGCTGTAGGTGGCTGAGTTTGTACAGTCTCTGTTGGGCTGTGACGAGCAGGCCAAGAGCTTCAAGAAAGAGGTAAGAACTGTAAAATTATATATTCATTTCTATATTTCCAGGCCCAGAAGGGCTTTGTTTCCATTTACTTAAGTATAAACAAGAGCCGTTTGGGAGGCAAGAGAAAAGGGCCCCTGCAGGAAAGAGCCCAGCAGTAGACGGGGCACAGCAGGGCCAACCCCTGTCTCCGGCTCACTTGTATTTGCTGTGCTGGGCTTACACAGTACGCTAAGGAAATAGACTACTGGAGCAGGTTAATTGATTAATACTCATAGGTGTCATGAAGCCCCTGCAGTGTGACTCTAGGCTACACTGGGGGCAGGGACGAGTCCTACCATGTGACTGCCCCGGAGAGGAGTGGGCAGTGAAAGTGGGGCCATCCTGTGTGTCCCTGCTCTTCGGCTGCTTCCGGGGGAATGCAGAGAAGCCACAAAATCCTCCTGTGAAGTTTCTGCTTCCTGCTTCCTCTCAGTTGCGAATATACCAAACTGCTTAACATTTGTCCTGGAATTAATAGCCATAGCACTAGGGGCCCCAGAAAAGATTGGACCAGCTACCCAACAATAATGCAGAGAACAATGAGAATTATTGTTCACCATGAGCTTGCCATGTGTCAGGCTCTGTGCAGTCCTTGCACAATCGTCCTTGGGTCCTGACAGCTCTACAGAGCAGGTCACCAGTGAGGAACCTAAGGTTGGAAAGAAAGGGCAGTCAGGTTCCATCCCACAGCCATCTGATTCCAGAGCCTCTATCATTGCTCTAGAATGGTCCAAGAAAACTGGATTCCTAGAGACTTCAGGAAGCAACACACACTCTCCCTGTCTGAAGGCCGGGCACACATGGCTCAGGGGAAATACTCTGAGTTTGGGGTCTTGGGCCCCTCAGAGGCCCACAAGCCATCTATTTCCAGGGAACTGAGCATCAGGGTCACTATGGTGTCAACGTGTATAGCTGCCAAGGGAAACCGGGGCTTTTCCAGGCTCTGCCTGGGCCCAGCAGAGCTTAGGCACATGTGGCCCAACCTCACACACACAGGCCATTCTCTGCATTGAGTAACACCCCAGTCCTGCCATGTTTGCAAGTGTCTTTGCAAACTACTCAAGTTTGTCACTTAAGACCACCAGTGTCATCACGGGCACATCACTTAATCTCTCTTATCCCCCCTCTTTAAACACAGAATTCTGTAAGAAAAACTTTAAGGGTTAGGAGTAGTATGTTTATAGTACCTGGCCCAGCTCTTGTTTCAGAGCTGGGACTTAATAAACAGCAGTAATACAGACCAGAGGGTCTCCTCTAGAGGTCACCAAGCTCTGCCTGTAATCTCAGTATCATCTCTGAGAAGCTGTATGACCTCAAACAAGTCACGAGGCTTAGAAACTGTGTTTTCTCACCCACCTTATGGATTGTTAGGAAGATCAAGCACATAGGAGAGAGTAGAGTGTAGCTCCATAAATGTTAACTGTTAGCACCATCACCATCACTGCCATCATTGCCTTATTCTTAGGACAGTGACAGTTTGGCCAATACACATTGCCTGAAAGCCTGACAGTGCTGGAGCCGACCCAAGGCCAGGCTGCGGCAGGAGGGAGCTTCTCTCCTTCGCTGCCGGAAGCACACTTTGTACTCCATGGGAAAGACATTCCATTCTCTAAATGGATGAGCCTTCATCAGGCGATATATCATACATGCACAGGAAGCTTTTTAAAACTCTTAAAACTTTAACACCTCACCCGGGATCCCCAGTTGTTCCCTCCTTCTTCAGTGAGACATTAATACTGAGGGTTTGTATCGTTAATTAAAAAGGGTTAGAACCACAGAGTTAGGCTCATAGAAGGGTGGTACTGTAGAAAACCCTTTCATTCTGTCTTTTTGGTCCTGGACCCAGGACTTATTGTGAGCCAGTCTGTGTAAACAGTTGCCTGGGTGTCAGACCTGCTCCAGCCTCCAGAGCTCCGCCTCTGAGGCCTCCTGGGGCCTCGAGACGCTGTGGAGAAGCAGCCTCCAGAGGGGCCCCTGGCCAGGCGCGCATCTCAGGAGAGCTATTGCGTCTCAGACCGCAGTGTGGTATAAAGGCTAATAAATAAAACTCTTATGGTTTATGTATTTCTGCTTATTGTAGAAAAAATTAAAATACAGGAAAGTTAAGAGGAGAAACTAAAATCCCAGCCACTATTCCACCAAAGATAACTTCTCTTAACATTCGGTGCAAAGATTTCAAGTAGTTTAACTATGTATATGTATACTTGTGGTCATGCACATTTAATTTTACAAATTAAAACTGAGATCTTTCTATATCACCATATTATGTTTTGCTGCTTAACAATTCATGAAAAATTCCCCAAATCAGGAAGTGATTCATTGAGATGAATTTTAGTAACTGCCTAGTATCCCGTCCTAGGTGAGACCATAATTTATTTACTTTTGCTATTTTTGAGATGCTAGGTTGTTTTCAATAATTCACTATTATAAATAACACTAGACTGCACACATTGCACATTGTTCTCTTGGGAAAAATTACTGAAGATTTACTAGGTGGATGAAAGTGGGCTATTTTTAAAGCTCTGCGTACAAATTCAGGCTAATGTATTTAAAATGTAACAACAGAAGTTTAGCCTGGAAGCAGTTAGTATACATTGAATTCATATTTAACAGAGGGAACACCTTTTGCTTTAACTTGGCGTCAGAGTCCTGGGGGAAAGGGTTGAGCGATGGCTCGCACTCAGGCTTGTGAAGAAAGCCACAGCTCTGCACTGCCTCCAAGCTCTGCAGGGGGCCGGGGCCTCAGGCTGAGTCACACAGCTAAACACCCAGCAGTTACCAGAGGGTAAATGGCTTTTATTTTTATTCCTGTTCATATATTTACATGCAGCAGATTGATGGCAAAGCCTTCCTGCTTCTGACACAGGCGGACATCGTCAAGGTGATGAAGATCAAACTGGGCCCAGCACTGAAGATTTATAATTCTATCCTCATGTTCAGGAATTCTCAGGACTTCACTGAAGAAGATACTTTCTCAGGCTAAGAAGTCAGGGGCTAAACGCACCACCTGAGCTGCCTCCTCTCTGGAACCTGGTTCTTTCAGTAATAAAATTGGCCCACATTGATTTGATTTTAATGTCCCCATGGTCATATCCATATTTAATCTGGACCTTTTAAATGGCGGTGGCTCATATGTTTAGAGGGTTTTGGTGGCTGATCCAGGGCCAACAACACCAAAGCCTGGGCACATGTAGGGTTTGTGAATATCTTTACCTTCAATGGGGTCCTTTCAGCTCTGTGTTGCCACAAACAGACCAAAGAAGCCAACACATACACCATATTCTCCCTCACCATTAAAAAAGCCATTTTCCATTTTGAAAACATAAAACTCTCAAGTGGTAAAATAGTAGAAAAATAGAATTCATAAATACACTGGAAATTTTTTCACCCGAACAACTGAGCTTGGCTCAGATCTGCCATCTGGGTACAGTGAGTCTAAGAGACAGCAGCCTGGTGCTTTAAAAAGATTCATGAGATTTTTATGTACTTTACTCAGGAAAGTGTGACTCTTTAAAAAATATTAATAAGCACATGTTTTCATGATTCATTCGTTCTTTTTGTTCCATTAACCATTTCTTGGTTGTGCTCCCGAGGTCTCCTGGTGTGTGCCCAGGAGCAGCCTGAGAACAGCCTGGGCAGGTAGCGGGAGCTGGCGAGACCCTCCCGCGGCCTTCCCCTGCAGCCGTGCCGGGCAGGCTGTGTGTGGGACTGACCTCAGGGAGCCCTCGTCCTGACACTGGTGCTGGCAAGTGGGCCAGATGCCCACCTGCACGGGAGCCGTCCCAGCTGCCAGCCTGAGGGAGCCTCAGGAGGACAGGTTTGTCCTGCAATCATCTGAGTAAGTGTGACAAGGAGCTAGGGTATATCTGGGCCTTAGGTGCATCTTTATGGGGACACAGCATTAAAATGGAAAGTCTCTAATGTAAGGAGCTTGCCATCTATTCTTTTTTTTAACAATTCTGATTTGATATCAGACCTTACTTGTTTTGTGTAAGTGACTGTATCTGAGACTTAAGTGACATGGGGCCAGTCCCACAGTTCTGTAGACAAGCACCTCTTTGCTGACACACCCCTATAGTGAGAGCTGCAAATGCCCCCATGGAAGTGGAGCTCTAGCCTTCTCTTTAATGGGGAGAGGAAGGAAATGGGTAAAAGGGACTCGGACCTGACCATACACATTTTGTTTCAGTAAGAATCTAACAGTTTAAGAAAATTGATTCTGCTTGGAGAGTTTCTCAGACTTTAAGTCACTGAAAAAATGAATCTTCTCTAAGAGGTGTCGCAAACATTACATTTCTTTAGATCCTTACTCAAATGGAATTTTAATATATTATTGGTTGATGTAAATTTTTGTTTCTGTGGAGCTTTCTTTGTTTCTGTTTTGTAGACCACCGTGTACAATTAAAATTATTGCTTCTCTATGTTAAAATGTTAATATATTTTAAATGATAATAAACAGATAAAACCTTCACCTCTCTGCCCTCATGAATATGTTGTTATAACCTGTTCCCATGCCATGACCTGGATGCTGGTTTTTTCAGCCTTGGATGAATAAAGGTAGTGCTGCATGCTTTAGCCAGCGAAGACGTCACTGTTTTTGAGTACTTAGGATATACTCCCTTAGGGAAGTAAATTTAGCTGTTAATAACTCAGGAGATTGAATTAAAAAAAAACAAACTCAAAACTCATTGTAGAGGCTCCCTGGAAGACATGGGATTTGGGTTCATATATTTAATATTGTACATGTCATTTCAACAGAAGGATCTAATACAGGAGAGATAATACCAAGCTAAATAAGGGTTAAACTATTGTGTTCCAAGGAGACAGTGTGATCAGATAGAAAGAGCTTGATCCAGGAAAGTGTGACCTGAGCTGCCACCTCACTGGAACCTGGTCCATATTGCCCCTCACTCTTCATTGTTATTACTTGTTTGTCTCTCCTACTACTCTAGACAGACTCTCTAGAGTCTGAGGACAAAAACTATGGCTGTCTTGTTATCCCTTACTCAAGCATTCAGCATAGTATTTGGCACTTAATTGGCACAATAAGTTACTTGTTGCATCAATGAATGGAAAAAGAATCAAAGTCAAATCCAAATCTCAGCTCTGCAATTTCCTAAATAAGTGTAACTTCTCTGTAAAAAAAAAAAAAATTCCTACCCAAAGGAGATTATTAAATTTTATTTGTGAGTGCGTGCATGTATGTAATCATAACTGCCATACACATGTAAGGTGCCTGACGCCTAATAGTAGCCATTAAATAGATGCAGAAAAATAACAACAGCAGCAGATCCATTTCTTGAACATTCTTCCAGGAATCGCCCACATACAAACCATATAAGTTTGCATCAAACCTGACCCTGAGGGGCCCTTTTCTTTGTGTGACTATGTGTTGGGGGCCCAAGAGCATGCAGGGCAGACTCTGGGGGGCCTTGACTTCTCTGCTTCTGCTGTCCCACACCCAGCTTCCACTCCAACCAGTTTCCTTCCCTCTCCCTGTGCCCTCCAGAAAGGCTGAAATATTATGAGTTGAAATCTTTCGCTCTCCGGGGGGCTCCTACCACCCCCAGGAGTCAGGCAGCATCCAGAAGTGCCCCAGGTGATGTGAAGACCCCGGCTGCCCTTAGGTACCAGCCTGAGCCTTTCACTCACCTCTTCTTTTCCTGTTCCCACCCATGGAATATGAGTGAGTCAGGGGAAATTGCCAATAGGGCTGCAAGAAATACAAACTTCTGGGTTATTAGAAAGAGTTCCCCCAAAGGACCATTTGCACAACACATCGTAAGTACACATCATGATGTGGAAACTAGATCATTAGCAAGAATCCTAAGGGAGCTTAGGACTTCTGAGACCATAGCCTTTGAATGCCTTTAATTTCAGATGATTTTTGCAAAAATAAATTTCTCTCATTTCCAGCAACAAACAGACATTCTGAGAAAAATCTACCCTCAATCAGCTCTGCACATCTATTTTCTCGCTCTGATTAGGTGTTGACCTTGTATAACCCACATCCTGAACGGATTCCAGGAACAACAGCACAGGAGACTGACTCCTTGTTAACTCGGAGCCACAGTCTGTGACATCTTTCCCTTGCTGAGTGCTGCCACTTAAACATCCCTGCGATTTCTTGGTCAGGTTACCTTTGTCTATGCAATCTCCATCTGCTAAGCGAGAATTGGAAGCTGGGAAATTTAGGGGGAGTACTTGGGCTTTGCAGCAAGGCCCAGGCTTGAATCCTGAGGTCTGGGCCTACCTGGATGCCTAACCTAGAAGGTATTTCTAACCCACACAGCAAATGACCAACTTGCCACATTTACTCATTTCTTTTGAACTATTGAGTTTTGATTGCATTATGTTTTGCTTCCTATCATTTTAAAGAATATTTAATTTGCCTCTGCAATTCCCATGGCTGAAAAGTACGTCTTTGGAATGCATCCCTTTCTTCACACTGCAGGGTCTTTGCTCACACTTTTTAAAAATATATTTTATTTATTATGCTACTACAATTGTCCCAACTTTTCCCCCTTTGCCGTCCTCTGCCCTTAGATCATGTCCATGGGTTATGCATATGTTATTTGGCTGCTCCACTTTCTATACTGTTCTTAATGACCCCCACCTATTTTGCACCTACCGATTTGTACTTCTTAATCCCTGCACCTTTTCCCCTATTCTCGTCCTTCCCCCTTCCCACTGATAACTCTCCAAATGATCTCCATATCTAAGATTCTGTTTCTTTTCTGCTTGTTTGTTTAATTTTTTTTAGATTTAGTTGTGTTGTTGATAGTTGTGAATTCATTACCATTTTAATGTTCATAGTGTTGATCTTCTTTTTCTTATATAGTTCTTTTTAACATTTCATATAATAATGGCTTGGTGATGATGAACTCCTTTAGTTTTATCTTGTATGGGAATCACTTTATCTGCCCTTCAACTCTTAATGATAGCTTTGCCAGATAGAGTAGTTTAGATTGTAGGTGTTTGCTTTTCATCACTTTGAGTACTTCTTACCAGTCCCTTCTAGCCTGCAAAGTATCTTTTGAGAAATCAGCTGACAGTCTTATGGGAACTCCTCTGCAGATAACTATCTGCTTTTCTCTTGCTGCTTTTAAGATTCTCTCTTTATCTTTAACCTTTGGTGTTTTAACTATGATGTGTCTTGGTATGGTCCTCTTTGGCTCCAACTTGTTTGGGACTCTGTGCTTCCTGGACTTAGATGTTTACTTCCTTCACCAAATTAAGGAAGTTTTCTTTCATTATTTTCTCAAATAAGTTTTTAGTTTCTTGCTTTTCCTCTTCTCCTTCTGGAACCCCTATGATTCAGATGTTGGTATGTTTGGAGATGTCCTAGAGGCTCCTTATTCTATCCTTGATTTTTTTTTAATTCTTTTTTCTTCTTACAGTTCTGATTGAATATTTTTTTCTTCCTTATGTTCCAAATTGTTGATTTGGTTCTCAACTTCATCCTTTCGATAGTTGGTTCCCTGTATATTTTTCTTTATTTCACTTAGTGTAACCTTCATTTCTACCTGGGTCTTTTTTATGCTATTACAGTGTCCAATGATTTCTTTGAGCATCTTGATAACCAGTGTTTTGAACTCTGCATCTGATAAGTTGCTTATATCTGTTTCATTCCATTCTTTTCCTGGAGTTTTGTTCTGTTAGTTCATTTGGGCTACATTTATTTGTCTCCTCAATTTGGCAGCCTCCTCGTGTTTGTTTCTGTATATTAGGTAGAGATACTTTGACTCCCTGTCTTAGTAACATGGTCTGTTATAGGAAAAGCACCTGTAAATTGGGTGGTATGGAGCCTTAGGTAATCGCCTGGTCACTGCAACCCTTTTCACCGCTCTGTGGCTCTGTGCAGAGGAGGGCCCAGAGAGGGGACAATGCCGCTGCCTGGCCTCTAGAATTTGCCCAGGAGGAAGCTGTCTCCTGGCACTGGCCCTGTTTCCAGTCACTTCACTTTCTCCGCTTCTCCTTGTA